ACGTACGTCCACGCGTTGAACGACGTACGTCCACGCGTTGAACGACGTACGTCCACGCGTTGAACGACGCACGTCCACGCGTTGAACGACGCACGTCCACGCGTTGAACGACGCACGTCCACGCGTTGAACGACGCACGTCCACGCGTTGAACGACGTACGCTCTGGTACGTACACGCGTTGAACGTCACACACTGGTACGTACACGCGTTGAACGTCACACACTCGGGTACGTATACACGTGGTAAGCGTAGTAGCCGTAACGTCTCGGTCTCCGTAGGTCCGGTGGTAGCCGGCGTTGTGGGGACGAAGATGCCCCGTTACTGTTTATTTGGAGATACAGTGAACACATCGTCGAGGATGGAGTCCACCAGTCTGGGTAACACTCGTTACTACACATTAAAGCACCAATTATATAACATATGTTACTATGCAGAATGAGTACTTTACGTGTATTGTGGTGCTGAGTACTTCTACCCTGTGGTATTCGTACCTTGACTGAAGTATCTGAGTCTTTCAGCCCTGAAGATTCAGTGCAGCTCCAGTACATTCTACCTGCTGGAGGAGATTGGAGGCTACCTGCTGGAGTGCAGAGGGATGATGCAGGTCAAGGTGAGCTGAGTCTCAGTTCTGTCGGGCTCTGGGAGCTGCCTGGCAACTCTCTGGATTCTGTCCGTCTCTTAACAGGGGAAAGGTGACATGGTGACCTACTGGCTGGAGGGGAAGAAGACGTCTCTGGTCTGCAAGGCCGTCACCGCGGAGACGGAGCGAGAGCCGTACTCGTCCGTGCCGGGCTTTCTGAGCGACGACGGCCTCCTGGACGCCGCCTGATCCCAAGAGAGCGCCGCAGTGTGTTGTGTGCTTCAATATGTTAATGAACGTTAGCGGTTTAGTTTATTTCAGTCGTTTTTAACTCGTGCAACTCAAATACACATAGAAATAATAAAAAGATGAATAGTAACGTAGTGACAAACTAAAGCAGGTTGATGCTGAGCGAGCAGCGTTCACTCATTGTGAATACTTAGTTCAGGTCCCTTTAGATTCATGCACTGAAGTTAAATGAAACGAATATATTTATATTAATTCCAAAAGTCACAAACAGAACTTCACACACGATACTTCCATCTGTTGCACAGTAACAGACATTAGTGTTCATTATAGTCAGTGGAGTGAAGTCAGGAAGCACGTTTACTTTAGTACACTTCATTCCAACATCGAGGTACTTTACTTCTTCTTTACTTCAGTGTCTCTATTTTCTGCTACTTTATACTTTCTTCCTGCTTTACTAATGTTTTACTTTCACAGTAACAGTTTGAACTACGATTATTAGTACTTCACTCGTTTAGTTTAAAGAAATTAAATCTCCCAGATTCATTTGTGTTTTCATAATTTCACATTTGTGTGTGTGTGTGTGTGTGTGTGTGTGTGTGTGTGTGTGTGTGTGT